ATGAACGCTTAAAAAATTAATATATTCAAGTTTGATAATGTTGAGAAAAGTTAGTTTTCAAAATTAAACATAGATGATACAGTTTTGATATAAAAGGACCTTAATTGTGAATTGTACCTAGTATGTTATAGAGTTAAAATGTACATATATGTGTGTGGAAATGCATTTTATTATATACCTAATGTGTATCACCAAATTTTACTGTTGAATTTACGTTATCACGTGACGTCGTGATCCGATTTTCCGGATCACCAACATGTTGTTTTCTGAATCCATATCACCACTCTCTGAAACTGATGACGTAGTACGCAGAAATATGACGTTATTTTTTTTGCGCGTTAAAAAGTCCCTTGTAATTATGCTTTTTTTTTTATGGATGAATGTTATGCAATTGTTCTCTAAAGTTTTCTTTTCCTATATTTTGTTAGTTATGAGGGGGTATATAATAAATTTATCATTATAACAGTAACTTGATCCGAAGGGTCGTATCACGTCGAGTTGACAGGCGCGGATCATCAGATCTAACGAGACGCGAAGCGTTATAATAAAATATATGTATCAATCGCTTATCGTGTCTTGTGACAAACTTTGAAAAAAAGAGATTTTCTTATGAGGTTGACCTTTTATCAAGGAAATTGGTATAACTCGCAAGCTAGATGTCTTGAATCTTATCCTTATATGATGCAAGTTTTTGTTGTGTAGGTAGCTTTAAAGTATAAGTTATACAATAAATAAACTTCAGAATCAAACAGAAAAGGCCAGTGTTATCGATTGACACAACGAAATTTTCACAGTAGTTTTCACAGCTAGACCGTGAAGTTTTTCCAAGAATGCCCAAGCGTAAAGCCGGGCATGCGTATTCCAGAAACATAAAATAACGTATTTGCTATTCAATGCCGTGAATTTTAGTATTCAAGTGAAATAAAATCCATCTATTGCAGTTGCTAGCGCACAAGAACACTGTAAATTTAATGCACCACAATCAAGAACCTTATCAGGAAGAATGCCTTTTTAAAGATGACCATCATGTCTTACGATACCAATGTACCACAAGACCGAGGCAACGTGTGCGCAGCAGCCCACCAAACGTGCTCCTGACCTGCACTGACAATACCAGTATTTTACTGGGTCCTCCAAATCTACCTGGTCATACTGTATCCAAACGTAGTAGGATTTTGAGGATACGTGACGAGACTGTATTTTGGCCTGTACAATGTTTGGCGCATCTTTACCAACAAATATATCATACCCCCCATCTTCGCTTAAATGTTCCAATGAATATGATACGGCCTGTTTTATTTGATAGACACCGAATGTCAAAGAACGCAAATAAACTTCTGTCAGCGGGGGGAACTCTTGGACCACATCCGCAGCATCAATTCTTGTCATTTTCAAAGAAGTTCGCCTACCGTTTTCTTTGATAAAAATATCTTTTAGTGGATTGATCTTTACTTCTGACCTTTCCAACATCTTTTTAGCAATGGCGAGTTTCTGGCTAATGGTGGCCTAAAGACATTAATCAATGAGGCTACAATGCGAACGTAGTCACCAATGTATGGAAGTTGAGTGTTTGTGACTACGTTCGCAAAGAACTTCCAGGTTTTCAGTCTACTATTAGCAGATTCTACGGTCCACCGAATTTTGGTAACCAGCCGAAACACGTTGGCTTCTTCCGTAGAATGTTGATTTTTGCCCCCTACCCAAGAAAAAAGGAGTTTCAGACGTTAAACCCACCCTTTCAGTCATTTCCGAAGAATCCCTGAACCCCCGATCCAAAACCAAAATATCATTTTTGTTTGCCCATTCCAAAAGCCCACTTTCATCCTCCGACAAATGTTTATTTAAAATGGCTGCATCATTGTTCTTACCGTCTGCTAAGTAAGGTCCCAGTATTTCCACAATATAACCATCGGATGCAACTAGCATCATTGGCTTAACCAAGGGTCGGCCTTTATAAACACTAAAAGATTTTCTTTGAAAACTATATTTGGAACTTTTCTGTATGTAAATATAAGTTCCATCAACTAAAAGAATGGCGGAGTTTTCATCCCCAGAAGCCAATAGTTCTCTTGCAAATGTTGTTGTATGATGTTCAATAATTTTCTCCCTGGAAACATGTGAATACCCGATATAATTTGGTACAAAATGAGCTAACAACGTTTTTCTTGCACGCTTTACGATGCTACATACATACCTGGTACTTTTAACATTGAAAATAGTTTTGAGCATACTGCTAGACAGACCAGTTCTCAGTTTTGTAAGCAAAATTCCAACTGCAGCTCTGACTGAATATTTTCTGTTTCGAAAATTGTTTTCTACTGCAGAACAAACTTCATCAAACTGTTCTCGGGTAATACCTGTTAAGTTTATAATGTCACTGTTATCAAGATTTCCATTTTCGAAGTCAATGCGTGAACTGTCTGTCTTTAGAAGAAGTAATCTGCACTTGACTAAGTGCTGCAAAATTTCAGAGGAAGACATAGAAATTGGTTTGCGTTTGAGTCTAAAAGAATATTTTTGGAATTCGGAAGTTTTGATAGAACCATTTTCTGCCTAATGATTAGGGCAACACCTTGCATTGTCATAATATACAATAGAATGTTTTAGAAAGAAAGATGAACGGTCAGAATTCTTGATTCTTCTTAACTGTTTTCTTCTCATACCGCAAATAGCGCAGAATCTTTGAGACTTGGTGCCAAAATATAAAACAGAGCAATTAACGTGATCTACACCTTTCTCTTTCATGTGTTTGTGACCTACCTGAACCCTCCTACATTTTGTGTAACATTTATTACAAATGCAATGATCCTCATGAACATGCATATCTAATGACTCAGAAATCAGGTTTCTGATAATGGCGTTTTTCCGCCTTTAAGAGTTCTCCGCTCTTTGTTCGGTGCTCTTTTTGCACAAACAATAAAGTTGTAGTGTTTTGGCATGGCGAAAATCAATCTAGAGCTTATTAACAGATTAAATAAGCAATTCTTAATAGACTATAGCTACAACTACAAGATTCAATGAAATATACGATAAATATAACAGAATATATATAGACTTTCTATCTGAAGAGAAAATGGCTATAGAACTAAAGAGGCGTAAACAAAATAAAATCTCGAAATTTTCTTGTAAATTACATGTTTAATAATAACAACCAACTACAAGGACATTTATCAAAAGACAAAAATTGTCGATTTCACGATATTTACGTTGAACCAAACTCGTCGATGCCGACCGATATAAAACTGAGTACCTTTCAACGGCAAACAAATGTCTAACTGAAAACTTGTTTACCTGGCTACCTACCTGTGACGATATGGGTTCACGTGATCTATTGTAATTCTAAACAGGTCAGGAAGAGGTTAATCGAATGTAAATGAAGGCATCGAACACATTCGAAATCACAATACTTTTACTTAGAAAATATAGAGCGCATTGTTGTTCAATAAAGATATTTCCACACAAACTTTATACGAGGGTTTATCCAAAAGTAATGTCACAGTGACCATATCTTTTATATTTGGCGTCATATTATCAAATACAATTATTATATACCAAAACATGCACAAATATAAATCTAATTAACATTAAAATTTAAATTTAATAATGTTTACTTGAATTTATTTTATAGGTGTTTAAAACATAGAGCATAGGGGGTGTCGCCGCGTCACAACGAAACGTCACGCTCGTAAAGTGTATTTTTTCTTACAATGACAAAGATAAACACATTAAAAAGATTCTAAAAAGCACCTAATTTCCCAGTGTTTTAACAATTTCGTTATTTTCTAGTCTTTAATTGAAAATTAAATGAGGGCATTGGTATTTGTGACTAAAAAAATAGTTGTTTTACTCTGTCGAATTGAACAAAGAGATTGTCGAAATGAAAAAAAAAACGGCTCGACGAGTTGTAATGCATTTTTGCTTCAAAATATGGGAATCATCACAAGCGATTACATTATTTAATCAGACTTAGAAATTAAAGAATGTAAGTAAGAGACATCTTAATAGATGGTTTCAGCAATTTTGGGCGAGTGATTGGTCACTGAATGATCAACAGAGGACAAAAAGACCGAAAGACAGGAGATCGGACGGAAATTGTTCCATGGTGTCTGACGTTGTCAAAAAAGACAGATGTAAAGAATGATATGTGAATTTTTAAGTTTGTCTTATGCTACTGCGTTCAAAAAAATTTGACAGAGGGCTTAATTATGAAAAGAGTGAGTGTATAATGGTACAAAGAATTCTTTAAAAAGTGGAATGGGTAAAAGTGTTTGCGAATCACAAATATTTTTAATGAAACGAAAGGGAAACGCTTAAAAGTTTGACGGTGCGTATCCGTCAAGCTTCCATCGTGTATAATTTTGTTGCTTTACGTCGATTTATAGCAATTTTATGAAAGTTGTGACATTACTTTTGGATCAACCCTCGTACATATAATATACACAATATATTTCAAAGTCGACATTGAACAAAGCTGCGCTCGGTGTTTATGGAAGCTTTAAAGTGTGTACCTGTCACTTATTTCTTTTGATATTCATGATAAAGGGACCCCACCTTTAAAACACATCTCCGTGTGGTGTGTATAGACATTATTTTATATATTTAGATGTTGATTTATATAATATATACATATGTTAATCAGGAAATTCAATTCATAAGCTGTAAGATAATAGTTCCAAATTTGATGAGAGACCGGGGACCACAGATATAGCCTTATTGAGACTTCTTCTTTACATTTACATTAGCTATGGCAATGTCTGTCATAGAGATATGTAATTCTTTACTTGATAACCGTGATCTTAATGTTTAATGACACAAAAATAGTTACAATTTAGCATAATCAGAGCAAACACGAACCTCAACTACGTCGTAGTAATATGGGTCGAGTTCTGTGTCACTCTCCGTTTTATCAATCATTTTTTTTCATTTTTTTTTTCTTTCAGCATCAAATTTTTTATTTTTTCTTCAATATATATTAAGCTAAACAAATAATAAATGAACAATATTACAGTTCACAAATCTTTTTCACATATGAACTTTCTTGTCATCTCACATCTTGTGTCTCCCCATTTGTAAGTCCCATATGTGGCATCCCAGTCTAGAACTATACATCTCTCGGCGGCGTAGAGGTTTGGTTGACCTGGCCAGAAATTGCTATAGGAAATAAGAGCATTGTCCGTACTCCATCTCCACACACCAAGTTGTGCGTGAGAAGTTGCTCCTAGGTACTGATTTTCATTCTTACCTATTTTTGAAGAATAAATTATTGTTTCTTAGAAATTACATGGTTGATAAGATTTCTAAAACATAAAGTACAAAGTAAGTTAGGAAGATTTGTGCGGAAAAAAAATCAGTTAATTTACAGAGCAAATGGCAATTACTTTGCAGCAGTATATTATTTGTATTAAAACAGAATGCATTTTAATTTCATTTTAGGGATATTGGTAATATACAGCGGTATGTGCAACATTTTTAACAAGAATGTATACTCATTTAGATGAATTGCTTACCACCATTGCGCATCGATATTTGTTCAACAAGCCAATCATCTTCCTCTTTGGAGTCTATTTCAACCAGATATGCTCCGTTGTTAGTACAATTGGTCTGATAAAGAATCAAAAGGTACAAAAGATGGTTGAACATTTTAGAATTGTGGCATAATTAATTGTGTTATGTCAATTATTCATTAAATATACTGCGACGATAGAGATATTCTCATCAAATACAAAGCAAAAAAAGGTTCGTGACGATTGATTTTCATGAGTCAAAGTACATCGCGAAACTGACGAATAATTTTCGCTACTTAAATAAAAAAAAATAACGATAAAAGTTACATGCATTTTACAGTGTTAGTGTAAGTTAATTTTAAGACTAATTTGCAGAATGGTTTCCACAAATTGTCACTTTTTTCTGACTTGTTTATTACGTAAATGATTATATAATGCTTCAAACAACCTTTGCCTCGTTCCAGTTTAAAAAGGTCTGCTGAAAGAGATAACAATGGTCCTGGTAACGTCTCCAACCAGAAAGGCAACCTAAGGAAAATACAAGCATTGTACAACATTTAGTAGAGTGTTGATTTCATATTTAAAGAGATAACTCAAACGTGTTAATATATGCTTTTGATTCATAAAAAGGTTTCAAGTCCTTGTCAACTTGAAAAAAATAATTAGATAATTCGTAGAATTGCAAAGTCCATAATTTCCTTTTGGAAGATCCAAAATAAGTGTCAGATAAAAGAAATGAGATGCACAATGGCATAATGAAATAAAATGAATTCAAAGTTTAAGTCAATTTTATTCGGTGGTATAGGACAGGTTGGGGATAAAAAATGGGTACCTTTTAATATTATGGAAAGAATGGCAGTGTCTATGTTTTGCTGAGAAACTGAAAGTATGTGTCAGATCAAAAAGTTAAACAGAAGGTGCACAATGACAGAATGTAAAAAACAGATTCTGTGATATCAGAGGAGTTTTGGAAATGGGTAACCTCAAGCGTGACTATGGACTGACAATGAAAAACTGACTGACACCCCATCACAATATACTTAGTACTATCCTTCCCCGTTTTCCAAGCGGTGGGTATGATAAGCCTTTATGTTGATACAAAGTTTGTATCTGTATTTTAGGAATTTCATTATTCTAAACAATTAACATACATGTATGTAATAAATCAGAAAGCTATTTTTTAAAATATAAACAGAAAGAAATATTAATCTAATGATTGAACTTTGACGTCATTGAAAGAATTTTCTGTTTACCGATCCTGCATAAAATTATTTAACAATATTGCATGTATAAATAAGAGTTATCTCGCTTAAACACTGTAATATCATTCAAAGGGCGACAACACAATTGTTACACTTATTGCTCCCTTACGCTATTTCATTGTCAGCTGAAGGATGACAACAGTTGTCACCCTACGTGTGAGGGAGACATCACGAATTGTGCCACTTCACGTGACAGTGAAGTGACATGCTTTACCAATCATTGATTGTATAATTTTGAACGATGATAATTGGACTTTCGTGCGTGGTTGCCGGTGTAACGTTGAATATTGACCCGAGTTGAAAATTGACCCGTGGTTCATTTTTCAACGTTGAATATGAATCCCGGGTTTTTTTTCTCCGTTGAAAATTGAGACCAAAAGTCGTTGAAATTATATCCAGGGTCATTTTTCAACAGCTTGAAACTTTTTTTCTTATCCCTGATGATCTCAACAAGTTGAAAATTAACCCTGTTGATTATTGACCCCACCTCAGAGTTTGAATATTTTTTGAACAGGAAAGTTGTTTTACAGGATTTATCAGGATCGCTATATTTTTTTATATTTCGGTTTCAATTTTTTCCCTTTTCAAGAATAATAGAAATAAATCATCCAGTGTATATTTGTACATTTTGATCAGTACACGATTTCAGTTATCTTCAAGCTTGACAACTTTATTTTTCCCCTCTATCGCGAAAGCGAGGGGACATTAAATCTCATTTGTCTATCTGTCAGTCTGTCTGTCCGCCTGTCTGTCTGTCCCAAAAGCTTTAACCTTGCCCATAATTTTTGATTTAGTGGAGCTATGACTTTTATATTTCAAATGTGTATTCCTGGTAACAAGATCTTTCTTTGGGTACCACCAAATTTGACCTTTTGACCTTACCTTCGAGTGTTTTTTAATTTTTACTTTGGCCATAACTTTTGAACGGTAGATACTAGAGCTTTTATATTTCGAATATGTATTCTTTGTGGAAAGACCTTTCATGAGATATCAACACCTTTTGACTTTAGAGATTTCTGTACTTATGAAATAAAACTTTGACCTTGACCGTAACTTTAAAACGGTAAGGGCTAGGGTTTTCATACTTTTCATACAAAACTAGAACTGGTTGTTTAAGTCAATTTAATAGGAATGACATGTTTAAGATGATTATTGAATATAAATCATTTTATTATCGAATAGAAATGACAAAATTATCTGTTAAAGGTGATGAATTCTCGAACAGAAATAACATTTTTTTCGCAAAGAATAACAACTAATCGAATAGGAATCATTTTTTATCGAACAGGAATGACATGATTTAAAGAAAGAAAAACAAAATTTTTGAATAAGATTAATGAAAAGTATAATACTGCAACGTTTTTACCCGCTATAACATAAACAGGTGATGGAGGAATATTTCTTTAAAAATAAGGAAAGTTCACTTTGAAAAAGATAAAAATGAAATCATTTCTTTTCTGATACAGTATAGTTTCAGTTGGCCTTCATTTTTCATAGTCAATAAAACTTCGAAACATGAAACAGTTGTGGCACATTCAGTGGTGACTTTAATTTTAAGTTCACTGAGATATATAGAGTCTAAATATTAAGTTGAACTCCACAGCAAGTTTTTTTTCTTCTTGTCATTTAAAGTTTCAAAAATATATTCTGATTCTGCTTCATAGAAATATTAAAACAGGTCGGCTAATAAAGGAGCACAATTAGTGCCCATTAGAATTCCAAGTTTTGAAGGAAGGATTGGTCTCCGAAAACTGCAAAAACGGTGTCGATAAGGTACTCCAGCTTCCTTTTAATATCAACTTCAGGATACTTATAGATAGAATCAAGGTGATGTTTAACAAAGTGATTTTCATTGATGACCTATCACAAGATACAAAAATTTCCGAGTTCCATTTTTATTGAGAAAGCAGTTGTCTAAAAAAAATCTACAAAAATGGGTGATCACCCCCCTTCTTCCATACTCTACCTAACAAAATAAATATGTATTGTGGGGTTCGTCCTTGAACAGTTTGATTAACTATGCAAAAAAGATCACTAAATCTTTTATTTTGAAAAAAAAATCCGTTTTTCAAGGTGGACACTATTAGTTATTAAAGTTCTGCATAAATAAATAAGTATTAAAACGTACGTACATCATGCGTTAAACTCTTACCATTTCCCAAATACTAATATTACGAATTTTAAGATTAAAATAAATGAAATGTTGTTAGCCGAAACCAAATATATAAACAAACAAATTTCTACACTAAATTGTATATAATTGTAACTATGTATACTGATATTCAGGATTTACATATACAAATGTACTTCTTTTTAAATAAATTGCTATTGAAAAAGAAAAAAAAAATCAGATATGAAAAAAAAATTTGACAAGAAAAAATAAGGAAAAGAGCGATATATGGTAAGTGTCTCAATTGACCCCTTAAAATGAATATCTCAATTTTACTTTATATATAGCTTTAATTTGTACATGCGAATATGTATATGCGAACTTTATTGGTCATTTTCATTTTGATCAAAATACCGTTATTTTAGAAATCTGACATCATAAAAATCATTAGCATATTTTGTATAAAACTGCTTATTTTCAAGCAGTTTTTCTTCGAGAAAATATATAGCGCATCCTAGAACAAGCTTTATATTTTTACCAAAGATGTATCTATCCAATGCTGATAAGTGACAGAAAAATTATGTATGTTTTACACTGCGCTCTATGTTTTCCATAAGAAAAAAACATAAAAAGGCATATTTTTGGCTTTTTGGTTGGATAGCAAAAATAACATTTTTTCTCATGTCATTTACAGCTAGAGAGTGGATATAAATGTGAAAAATATATTAGAATATTTCTACTATAATCTCTTTTCAAAATAAATATCAATTAAACATATCTGAATGTCATTCTAAAATGTTGATTTTTAGGGGGCAAAAATTGGCTCTTATCATATATACCCCTTAGACTATTGTCCAAACTAGTATTCCAAACCCGAAAATCCTATTTCGGGGGTCGGGGGGGGGGGGTTAGCATCCAATTACTTTTTTCAAGCACTACCACTTACTCTTTTTTCTTTGACTACACTGTAATATGCCTGTTGAAAGGGGTGGGGCTAAACCAATGTCACTTTCTTCAATGCCTATATTATGTCTATCTTTGCAAAATTGGGGTGGGGATAATCACCCCTTGCCCCCCCCCCCCCCCCTTTCCTGACGCCTATGGCTTTAATCACAGTTTTGAAAACCAAGTCATAAATTTGTGTTTTTATCCTGTTGAATTTAGAACCGGTTTCATGATCAAAATTCCACGACCCGGCACAGTTTTCAACGGACTAGGGTCCAAATTCAACACCTTTGGTCTCAGTATTCAACGTTGAAAAATGACCCCCGGGTCAATTTTCAACCCGGGTCAAAATTCAACGTTACAGCGGCCCGACACCTCTAGTAATCGGACAGTGATTAAGGCTATATGGTGAATCGTTGGGGGTCATCCACCGATGCCCCACGTCACTCCTCATCGGTAAAACCCCATTAAAAGATCTTTCAAGGATCGGCATATGTATGGCCGATCGAGCATAGTCCAGTGTTTGTTGAATCTGAAGTAATCGGGGGGGGGTTTAAATGTTGGTCAACAGACATCGGCCGATAATTTCTCGATGTTCGACCAATCATTTACTCATAGTCGACCGATGTTTGAGCGATGTGAAATACATAAGCTGATTACTGTTTGAACATCGGTCTCTATTTGGTGATACATCAGTGCGATGTAAAATACATAGGCCGATTAGCTTGGACATCGGTCTCTATTTGGTGATACATTACTGGTCCTGTGTAATACCGGAACTACGGATACCCATCGTCTACTCCATCGTTAGATAATGCGACTGATACTCTAAGAAGTATTTGCCGGTGAGGACCACCTGTCTACAGGTTTCTGCCGGGAAATGTGACTCAAGGATAAGGAACTTAATTGTCTTACGTCGCGGTTCTAATCTGTTGTAGGATGTGGAGACTTGACTTACGTATGAGACGGAATAAACCTAGGTCTCATGCTGGTAAAGATGCAGGCACGAAAAATATGGCCTACTACTCAAAGGCTTTGGAGTGTCGAGTGGAGGGCAAAATTTGCAGTCTACTATCAACAGAGGTGCTTTGAACAACAAACAACCAAACAGACAAAAATAACAGTTATACATACATTCATCTGCGTAGTATCTCCAGTCGACCTCATTAAATACTCCTGACGTGAAAATCTTCTTGTGAGTACGACATTTTTTCTTCTGGGGATTAAATCCATAGAAGCAGCACTCGCGGACGCCCTGACACATCGCGGCACACTTGGTCAAAGAAAGAGAATCATGTTCTCCTAAAAGTTCCTTATTTGATTTCTTATCGTTAAACTCAGGATTCAAAGTATATTTCTGAGAAAAAACAGTGGCCTTGGACAGAGCCATGAAGACGACAATTAAAGTGATAACAAGCACATTGCTCATTTTGTATTTGACTTTTACAGAAAAAATAACTGCTGCGTTCTTGTGAATCTGAAAAATTTTGCCAAGTGGACTTAGAACTGCCAAATATATTTATCAGAACCTTAATCAATGCCTGAAATGTAATTGGCAAACTGTCACCTACTCTATATTTTACTGCTGTTTAAGTATCGATTGTATTGAAATGAAGATGAATTGTCATAAATATTTATTTTGAAATTGCAATTAAAAATATCGCAATTAAACGAAGGCTAATTTTAACTGAGTTAAAACCTGTTATGTTGTGATGTTATACAGTATTCTTTTTTATCATTAACTACCTTTATCCTCCAAATGTTAATATAACACAATATATTATCATTGTTGGTTAATTTACTTTTCAATTAAATTTCTTCGAACAGCAACGAGCACATCTTAGAAGGACGAAGACTAGTAAAATCCAATGATAAGAGAATTCTTTAAGAATGTTCTTTGGTTTGTAAAAAAACTATTCCAAAAATGATTTTTTTTTTTGTACGATACATGTTCAAAATAATTGGTTGTTTTCATGAAAATGGTTAATCGCTAATATTGCACCCGTGTTATGAATCTCACACACATTATTTTACCTTCAGAAGTAGAGACCATTTATTTGGGGCATTTAAAAACTTTGTAGACTTTTGTCCTAACTTTTTTTACGTCATATTATATTCAAAGTTTGAATAGTTTCCGTAAAACAAAATTGGAATATATCTTAAATTCATATCTATAAAATTTATCAAAGATTTAGAACAGGAAAAATGGTTACACGGAGCAACGTCAAAATTTATAAAAATTTTAATTTTCACTTCATAGTATTTATAGCTATGCCTCTAATAAGTGGAGCTGAAACGAAATAAAATTTACATGTTTTAATTAAGTCTTGATGTATTACTTCGGATGCTGTCAGGTAATGTAATATGTCGCTCCGTTTAAAAGTTATCTGTTTTTAACCACATATGGACTTAATTAAGAAAGAAAAAAAAAACATGATGTTGGAGGACGTCACGGAGAAGCGAGTAGCATTAAAATTTTGTTTTGCATTCGGGAAACGTCTTTAACAAACTTAAAAAAATCTGTATAAACCAGGAAATGTATGACAAATAAGCCATGTATGTGTATTAAATGGAAAATACTATTTTTGAGTTGTAGCGAGTTTGAATCAGACAATGAATGGTCTGCAGAAAACAGGTAATATAGTTTAAAATCTTGTCAAAAGAGTTAGGAGCGACCTTAAGGTCAAGATCTAGTAAATGAAAGGTGCCTACAGATTTATCAAACTTGAGAAATAAATTCTTTTATTGATGCTTTACAGCTTTAGCTTGGTCAAATAAGGTGTTTCGGGGCATAATTTGTAGATAAACAAAATGAAAACTGTATTTTAAACTGTCATTTTCAATAAAAATTTTTAAAAAAGCAGTCATGAATTTGGGAGTATTTTTCATATTCGACAAAGGAAATGTATCCAGATTGCCTACAGTCTCTCAGAAAACGGTAATTAGTATGTTCATGGCCTCTTTTTTAAATCAATATCAAATTTGATATAGGTATCCGGTTTACTTTTTATAGGATTTCAAATTGAATGTCATGAAAATACCCTATTTTCTACATAATTCTTCTAAAGCCGTAAAGTACGGGAAAAAGAAAGTTGAAATTGATTATGACATCATAATGGATCTAGTACCAAAAAATTAGTCTAAAATATTTACTAGATCTTGACCTTAAAGGTGATGTGCGCTTCAAAGTTGCGCAACTATTAAAGTTACGCGGTAATTTTTAGAATTCAAAAACACTGACCATCTAGTTTAAGTCATTTGCACAATTGTTGGCAAAGTAAGTGTTACATTGTAAGTGTTATGGATGCGTTCTTATTAATGGAAAAGACGCTAAAAACTGTGTGTGAAATTAAAAAGCAGAGTAATTTTGAGAGTTTCTCTTGCCGTTGTTTTTGACGTTACAATGCTGGTTCACCGTGCTCGGTGTTAACAAAACATGTGGCTTTAAAATTCGCAAGTATGAGTTCTATATAATCAAACGTCGACAAAATAAATGTTTTTATTTATGAAAATGTGTTGATCTATAATCTTGTTATAATAATTTGACGATGAGGAAGATTCTCTACGTATTTTTTGAATGACTTTCGTAGAAATAATGCGTAATATGCACACAGAAATAGATATAAACATATCTACTGGGTACATGGAACCATGACGTCATTACATGATCTAATATGTCACAAAAATCAATCCAAAAATATACGATTTCTTGACTTAAAGCGAGCTATTGATCTTATCATTTAAGCAACATATTTTCAATAGCTAGCATCGTTTTAAAAAGCTGCGAAGAACAGGTCTCTTTGGAGTGGACCTTATAGCCTTCAGTAAACAAGTTCGATGTACTATTTTTTAAAAAGATTACTTAACATTATGATATTGTCTTTATAATAGTTCACTAGGTTAGCAAAAACGTAAGGAGAAATTTGTAAGTGCAATTTTAAAAACTGTTACAGCACAAAACTGCAAAAAATTGCCATGCTGACAGTAAGTAAAACAGTCAAGTGAAAGGTCGAGTTGGATAAAGGAAAATGTAATTTAAAAAACATTTTCTGGTTTCCATGTAATATATCTGGAAGTAAACTTGCTGTGCACCTTAGTATATACGAGCAACTTGATTTGCAGTTAATACCCCTATATAAACTTGCCGTGCAGACTAGATAAGTGAAGAGGTGAGAATGACAAATCAAAAAAGCTTATTGTAAGGTCGTTTTATCATGATATCACAATATTTTTATAAACTTCGTAATAACTTTTATTAATAAAATTTTACATTTGTTTGTTTTCAATTTCTACTAAAATTAACATAAATTGTTATTAGAAAAAAGAATCGCACAACATTAAGCAATTTGATTTTAAAATGAAAACCACATATCCTACTGTGTTCAGTGAAAAAGAATAAAACAGCTTACAAGGTCAGATGTACCGCTATCTGCTGCGGACAAAGCAGGCAACAACATGGTATGACTTGTAAATAAAACTGCATATAACTACAAAAATATATCAGCTTATACGGACAGATTTGTGGAAGAACTGATCCCTAAAAGCTTTGAAAAAATTGTTAATCAGAAATTTGATTATCTTTTCTATTCACCTGTAGAGTACTTCTATTGATGTTCAAGTGTTAAAGGAGCAAACTGAAAACCTACTAAGCCTTCTGTGTTCATAAACACAGAAATGATAAAAGATCAGTATGTACTGCTTCAAGCTGAGGAAGCAATCAACAACATTAAAAAGAACGTAATTTTAATCGTATTTTAAGGGAACTGGAATATAATTCTGCAAATAAAAATGGAACTTTTACCCATAGTTTCCTTCTAACGTGAATATTCTTAAAGACCATTTGAATATTTTCTGTGTAATATTACGACATACATGTATATATTTTAATAGCATTTCACAGAAAAATAAACTAAAAATCTTATTTCATCTTAGATTTATAAAAACGTCAAATTTTTAGACGGGTTTGATTGACGCATCCTTGCACTCTCACGAATTTTACTTTTATTCTCAATTTTATTCTTAACTTTACTTAAGGAAAAGTGGCAATCTTGTTGAATCGTAACCATCAACAATAGCTTTTCAAGGGTGTAATCAATTTGCTTAACTTTGTACACAACACTTAACTTGGAATGACGAAACTTGTGAATGAGTTTTGCTTTCTAACATTTCTAATCTGAATATAATTATTTTTGTGGATTAAAGTTTTGAATATTTTTCATGAATACACAACAAGATCGCCACTTTTCCTAAGTATTAAGAATAAAGTAAAATTTGTGAGAGTGCAAGTATGTGTCAATCAAACCACTCCAAAAAAAAGTTTCAATAACTTTTATTCTTAATAAGATTTAAAATTTATTTTTATGTAAAATACCATTAAAATATTTAAGTCGTTATATTTTTTAGAAAATATTAACTTCAAATCTGTGTCCATGCACATTTAACATGGAGAACAGTCGAACAGATGAGAACTACTGGCCATGGTACATGTATCATCTTGCGCTTTAGTGTAATTAGTATAATGTTAATATATAGAAAATACAGAAATTACATGAGCTGTAATGTTTTCGTATCTAGGCAAGGCAAAAAACTTCTTGAATAAGAACGGATAGAAAGACGGCTGTATTTGACGAGAAACTATAAAAATCCATTCAGGAACTAACACAATCCATCAGCCAAAAGCATATAAGATGCAAATGAGCCCATGATAATGCAGAGTTTGTGTAATCTTAACACAGCGAAGGTTCAAGCTTATTTTCTTATGCATACTTAGTACACACAGCATGATAAAGCAACTGCACATTATGACGTCATATTTTGACGTCATAAAAATGTTCTTTTCCATTCAAGGTAATAAACAAATCAACAAAACAACGGTGGCGCAAGGGCATATCTTTTGAAACTTTTAATAAATAATGTATAATATTAAGAGTAATGTTATAAAAATTAAAGAAATTGCTGCACAAATCGTTTGCACTTTCTCGATAGATAAAATTTTAGGAAACTTTCACTGAACAGTGAATGTTTACCCTGTTTCAACTGAAAACTTTTTGAAATAGTTTACTTTTGCTAGATTCTGGCCCATCAAAAACTATCTATAAGAAAGCAGGTTTTAATTTTTCTGTGCAAAAAGTACAGCTTTTGTGCGTTTAAATGAGTTCATTATATGGAAACGTCTTTACATAGCCTTACTTGCGAAATATTTACGCCAAAGTTTCAGAATATTGCAACAGAGCACTGAAAATTATTGAAAACCATGTCCACACAATTAATATGAAGAACAACAGTCAGTTTCACCTACCAGGTAATGATAAATTGATTCATTGTTTATTATTTAACGTCTTGAAGACTTGGAGACGCCACCACTTAACGGTGGAGAGCTGCAAATTTGCA